GGTCACCACCATTCGACTTGCCACAAAAGAAAAAAATGAATAAGAGGGAGGCAAGGTGATCCTTTTGGAGGTGGTAGGTATGTTTACAGCATTGATCGTGGCGAGGGTTTCACAGGCGTAACTTCCCTCCAGATCCATCAAGGTGTGTACACCGTGCACTGTGTTCATGCCGATCACACCTCAGTAATGTGGCTTGAAATGGCACAGGTAAGATGTGACAAAATCTGCCTCTCGCTCCCAAGAGAAAACCAACCCGCGAATACTCTGACTTGACACTAAGGGAACATGTGAAAATGGGTACAATGAACAGAGGATTGTCTCCATGGGACTTTAGAAAGGAGGCAAGAGGGCCTCCCTGATAGGTCCTCTGGCTTGTGGTCACCTGGGCCTGGAGCCAGTAGGCCTTGGCAGTCTAGGCCTTGCTAACCAGGACACTGCTAGCCCCAGGATGTCCATTTCTTTATTAGGAACGGGAACTCCTTATCAAATTTGCATGTACTAGGATAGAAAGGACACAACGTTTAATGTGATAGGTGAATCTAAATGTACCAAATTCTCTCTTGTGATGAAAATAAGTACTTGCAATTGTGGATTTTTCTTTTTTTAATGCACTTAGGGTTGCCTAGTAAATCACCCTTCTCATCTTTAGTCATTTATTCATCTCCACATAGGATTTTGGAGACTAATCCTGTAAAAATACTGTCTCTCACACAGTTCTGAAGACAAGCTGACAATATTCCTTTCCTAACAATACTTCGAATTCAGATTTGCACAGTTGAAAATTTTGTGTGTCCCTAATTTGGGGGGATTGTACCCATGCCTGTGAATGGTCAAGAGCTCTGTCTTTTTAGGAGACAGATCTGGTTTGAGTCCTGGTTCAAGCCCCGATGAGGGAAGAAGTAGCTAGATCACAGACAGATTACTTCACACATCTGATCCCCATTCACATAATCTGTACTTGATAGTAACCGTGGCCTCATAGCTGCTGAGAGGAGTCAACCAACAGAGAGTTTAACACACTCCTCGGCACATAGAATAGCTTGATAAATACCAGTTCCTGCTAATATTCTAATTGTCATTTAATGTCATCCAAAAGCCTATATTTGGTCATAGGATTCTTCACCGACTCATCATTTATCCTTGCAAATTTCCATGCCACCTTCTTTTGGGGTAGGCAAAAATTTCTCATAATTTCCTGTGTATATTACTTAATACAAGAAAGCTACTTGGAGGCAAAATAGTGAATGATGTTAAGTACTAAAGAAAGAATAGCAAACTTTACACCAAAGAAAAGCCGGTCTACTGGTTGCTGAGAGATATCCCAAGGTGGTTTTCACTTCTATAGTAATAGATTGATTTTTAGTTATAGTCTTAGAAATCTGACTTTGACAGAAGGAAGCAAAACATTTTTCAAAGATGGAGTCATGGCAACCAGGTTTACAGGATAATAATAATACCTATACAGTGTTGGGAAAATTGGATAACCACATGTAGAGTAGGGAAATCAGGCTTCTTTCTTACACAACTCACAAAAATTCACTCAAAATGGATTAAATATATAAATGGGAGACCCACAAGCATAAAAGTACCAGGAGAAAATATAGGAACTATGTTCTTTGACTTTGGTATTAAAAACAATTTTTTGGATATCACAAACAGTGCAAAATAGCACAACAATAGTAAAAATAAAGAAGTAGGACTAAACTAAACTAAAAAGCTTCTGCACAGCCAAGATATATTCGGAAAAAAAAAAGGAAACCTACATAATGGAAAAAGATAATTGCAAACCATCTATAAAAAAGTTAATATTACACATATACAAGGAACTACAACTTAATAGCAAAAAAGTCAATTTGATTAAAAACTGGATAAAGGCCTTGAATAGACATTTTCTAAAGAAGACATACAAATGTCGGAGTACATGAAAAGACGCTCAACATCACTAATCATTAGGGAAATGCAAGTTGAAGCCACAATGAGATATCCACCTCACACCTGTTAGAATGGCTATTATCAAAAAGACAAGAAATAATGCATGTTGGCAAGGCTGTGGAAGAAAAGGAATCCTTATGAGCTATTGATAGGATTGGAAATGGGCAGGGCCACTATGAAAATAGTATACAGATTCCTCAAAAAATTAAAAATAAAAGTACCACATGATCCACCAATTCCACTCACCTCTGAGTATGTATCAAAGGAAATGAGAAAAAGCGGGTGGGGAATGAAAGCAGGAGATCAAAGAGAGATCCGCACCCTGCTTGTTCACTGAAGCATTCTTCACAACAGCCAAGACATGGACGACCTATGGTGTTGGTCAATGGATATACATACTTATACAACTATGGAATATTATCTAACAAAAAAGAAAAAGAGGGGAAAGAAAAGAAAACTCTGTCCCTTGCGACAATGGGAGAGCATTATGCTAAGTGAAATGAATCGGAGAAAGAAAGGCTAATATGGTATATTCTCATTTACACGTGGAACCTAAAAAAGCTGAACTCCTACAAACCAACTAGAATGATGATTACCAGGGCATGGGGATAGAGGAATGGGGAGATGTTGGTCCAAGTGTGCAAACTTTCAGCAATAAGTTGAATAAATTCTAGAGACCTCATGTATAGCATGGTGGCAATAATCAGCAATACTGTATTATACTCTTGACAGTTAAGAGAGTAGATCTTAAAAATTATCACCACACACAGAAAAAATAATTATGTGAAAGGCTGGAGATGTTAGCTAACCTGATTGTGGTAGTCATTTCACAATGTACACATGTATTACGTGATCACGTTGTAAACCTTAAACTTACATAGATGACACGTCGCTATCTCAATAAGCCTGGAATAAAATGAAACCTGTAAAATACTAATAAAAGTATTCTTATATCATGGAAAATAGTACTCCTTTGTGTACTGGCAGTCATGGCATATATTCAGCACGTACATTTCCCACAATACACACATTGGGAGTTGGACGGTAAGGCAAAGATTTCTGTCAAGCCTAGAGTCAAGGCAAGGTAAGTTAGTTATACAGTTTGAAAAGTTCATTAGCACTAGGCCGTGATAGCTCAAGGTACCCATCGCCACATGGTGTTGAGGCAGGGGGGTATCTGGAGCCAGAGGAAATTCTTCCATTGAGAAGTCCCTAACAAGCATTGCCAATATTTGCTTCTCTGTTTTCATGTATTCTTGTTTGAACAGTCTACCTTCTGGGAGGTCTATTCTCTAACCATGACAATTTAATTAACTTTATTAGTCAGTAACCAATAAGCTGGTAAAGCAATAGCCTCATTCTTTCTCTTTATGATTGGATCTCAAAAAGGAGTTGATTGGTAAGTATTTATCTGCTTTTATCTATTATGTGTTGGTTTATCGTTAACTTTTAACTTTTTAAGGTTTTTTTGGACAGTGTGCTGTTTTATGTAGATATAGAGAGGTCTTCCTTAACTTATGATGAGTTATGTCCCAATAAACTCTTCATAATTTGAACACATCGTTAGTCAGCCATGCATGTAGTACACCTAACCTACCAAACCGCATAGCTTAGCCTACCCTATTTTAAACGTGCTCAGAACACTTAACAGTTGGGCAAAGTCATCTAACACGATGCCTATTTTATAATAAAGTTTTGGTGATCTCATGTAATTTACTGAATATTCTACTGAAAGTGAAGAACAGGATGGCCGAAGAACAGCTTGGGTCCAGGATGACTCTAAGTATATCGGTCATTTGCCCCCGTGACTGTGCGGCTGGCTGACTGGGAGCTGTGGCTGCCACTGCCCAGAATCAGGAGAGTCTGATACACATATCACTAGCCCAGAAACGATCAAAATTCAAAGTAAGGTTTCTCCTGAATGTTTTCACTTTTGCACAATTGTGAAACAGAAAAACTGTAAAGCATCATAAACCAGGGAATGACTATACATATAAATCATATATAATGCAGGTTCTATATAACCTACATTACATGTCTTCCACTAAGAGTTATAAGTAACCATTTCAAATGGTTTGGCAGAGGCCTTTAGATGATTAGTCTTTTTTCTTTAAAGATTTTATTTATTTATTTATTCATGAGAGACACAGAGTGAGGCATAGACACAGGCAGAGGGAGAAGCAGGGTCCCTGTGGAGACCCTGACATGGGACTCGATCCCAGGATCCTGGGGTCATGACCTGAGCCAAAAGCAGATGCTCAATCACTGAGCCACTCAGGTGCCCCTGATTAATTTATTAATACTAACCAAACTACTATTATAATGTGAATACATTTTCCCCAATGATTTATTTATATTTTTATTTATTTATTTATTTATTTATTTATTTATTTATTTTAAAGATTATTTATTTATTTATTCATGAGAGACACAGAAGGAGAGAGAGGCAGAGACACAGGCAGAGGGAGAAGCCTGCTCCACGCAGGGATCCCAATGTGGTACTCAATCCTGGGTCTCCAGGATCACGCCCCGGGCTGAAGGCGGCGCTAAAGTGCTGAGCCGCCTGGGCTCCCCATGATTTATTTATTTAAATGAGACAGAGAGAGAGAAAGATAGGGGAGGAGCAGAGGGAGAGAATCTTCAGGCATATCCCCCACTGGGTGTGCAGCCTGATGTGGGGCTTGATCTTATGACCCATGAGATCCTGATCTGAGCTGAAACCAAAAGTCCAACACTTAACGCACAGGGCCACTCAGGTGCCCCATGTAAACGCATTTCTTAAGAACAAGTGGAACAAAGGTTTTTATATGTAACATCTTCCCTAAGACATTTATAAGTAAATGCAACTTCACTAGAAGCTTAGGATAAAACTAAACAAATTACAGATGTGAATGTGCTTTGCAAACTGCATGATATGCTAAAGTGTCACACTGATAATTAATAACATGAATGTGATATGTGAATTAGTGTTAAATTTTCACTCCCCATCAAGACTCTAGAGTTGCTACTTCATTGTACAGAAGAGCAAAGTTGGCGGGAGCACCTGAAATTCCGCCCTCATAACTCACCTTTATTATGTTTGCCTTTGGCAGCCCACACACTCTTCTCAAGCCCACAATGAGATGAGCACAATTTTTGCAAGCCTGTGAGAAGGAACAAAAGAACAAGAAAAATTTTGCTTAGAAACTCAGTAGACCAGAAAGAGAATAGAAAATTATCATGAAAAAAGAGCTTTTCATGTTGACTATAGCTGCTGTAAAACTACTATGTGGTATAGGTCAAACTAGGTATAAAGAGGTGTGTAGGAAGACACAACTTTTCAGTAAATTGTATTAGAAACTAAGCAGGTGGGCAGATCTGGGTACTGTTATGCAAGCAGAGTCAGCTGTCAAACTTTGGAAAAGTTTAGAATGGCTAGATTTTCCAGTTAGGTTTCCCTGGGTGAGTAACACTCTTCTAATATCCTGCCCACCCAAACTCAAAAGCTCCATCTTTCTCTTTGTTCACTCCCTGCTCTTCTGTGTAGCCACCGAAATCACCAGAATTCCCTGAACATGACCTCTGTTTCTTTGCTTGAGAAATTTAATGATCACCAGATAAACATGTAATAGAGTCTATTTTATAATAGTAGAGATTGTTTTATAATAGTAAAGTATATTTTATACTATGTTGTACAAAATGCCTTTAAATATCAGTTTATGGGTCATGAATGAAAGAGACTTGAGGATTATCTAATATAACCCTACTTATTTCACAGATGAGCTTACTGAGACCTGGTGTGTAGTATTATGGGCTTGTTAGGAGTTACGCAGTTGGGAGTCACAGGGCTGAGACCAAAGCCCAGGCTCAGCTAGCACTTATGTGGAAGGCTGTTTAGGTTTTCCAGTTGTGCTACAAACACAATAAATGCGCTATTAATAATGATAAAATAGATAAAATGATTTGGGGAGACAAAGGCTAGATTTTTTTTTTCTGAATGGCTATAATAATTTTAAACTATCTTCAGGTAATGATTGGATTTAAGCTGAATTTGAAAAGTAATGAAGACTGTGGGTAGAACAAGGAAATTATAAGGTTAATTCAAGTGTAAGAAATAATAAGTGAAAGTATGGAAGTAAAATATAGCAAAGGCTTTGTTAGGAGCCTGTTTGTGGAAGTCGAACCAACAAATGCAGAGAATGACATAAGGAAACTGAGAAACGTGCAATACAACTCAATCACATGATGGCCCACAACATGGAAACATTTTCTCTTTTTCACGAAATCATTAACTACATCTGAAGGATACTGAAGACAGACCCTGATTTTTGAAAGCAAGTTTAGGAAGATGAATCTGGCAATTGTGTAGAAGATTATGTGAAGATCCCCAAAGATCATCGGGAAATTCTTTTTTTTTTTTTTTTTTAATTTTTTTTTTTTTTTTTTTTTATGATAGGCACACAGTGAGAGAGAGAGAGGCAGAGACACAGGCAGAGGGAGAAACAGGCTCCATGCACCGGGAGCCCGACGTGGGATTTGATCCCGGGTCTCCAGGATCGCGCCCTGGGCCAAAGGCAGGCGCCAAACCGCTGCGCCACCCAGGGATCCCAGATCATCGGGAAATTCTTAAAGGCAGGTTGGAGCTCCAATCAAGACTGTAGCAGTAGAAACTCAAAAATATGAGTAAACATTACAAAAGAAATATAAGAAAGCCACAATTGGCTGGGAATTGGATAAAGGGGAGAGACAGAAATAAAATAGTAGTTCATGTTAATAGTTCAAGTTCCAGAGACATGACACAGTTTTCCATTGGCCAACTGGGGAGGAGGGTCACCTAGGTATGAGTTAGTATAGGCTTAGTTTCAGACTAACTTTGAGTTGAGTCTGGAATAATTCAGTACTTGAGTTCCCAAGCCTGAGGGACAAACAGGAGTAGGAGACATAGACTGAGATGTTACGCACATGAAGGCGGAGGCTGAACCTATATAAGTAGTAAACTCTTGAGAAAGAAAAATAGGAAAAAATAAAAAGCACAGAGGGAAAAAACAGACTCTTGGCCAATAATCACAGCTGGTTTCCTAGGAAAAAAAGGAAACCAATGAGGAAGGGAAGAGCCATAAGTGGATAATTTGGGAAAAAAAAAAAAAAAAAAAAAAAAAACAAAGAGCTGAAAATACTATAGTGTTGATCTTGGAAGAACTCCATATCCTAAATGTAGTGGGAGTTTGTCCAATATGTCTATGTTTATCAATTTCAAAAGACTGGTTTCCGTGTCAGTATGTTGCATGTTTTCAACCTTGTGTGAAAAATTATAGAAAGTTCAGTATAAAGAGTGTTGGGAGAAGAAAGCCACATTAGACTAATTCATCCTCAGAAACACAAAAGTAAATTAAAATATTTCATTCAAAGTTTGATTTTTAAGCAAGGTCAGACTGCTTATTAAATATTAGAGATTAAACTTGCTTTGCTACGAGACCTCTCTATTATGAAGATTTAGGACGAAGGCAGTCATTAGGTCTGTAGTCTGACTCAGTGGAAAAAGCCTACGCTAATCTGGGTAAATAGTCTAAATACAGTGACGAATGTGGACACCAGCGTCATCAGAGGAGGTGCGTATGATCTTGAAAGGAAGGGCAGCCAGTGCCAGAAGTCGTTCAAATGCAAAAGCTGAGACTCCTCAGTGTTGCTTGCAACCGCTCACTGATTCGATGAATAATGATCTCTGAACCAGAGTGGATTATGCACCATAAATGCTGGGGCAACTTAACCTGCAGTTGTTTTTCTTGATTAGGATCAAAGTTGTTTGTGTGAGTTTGTTTGTTTTTTTCTTTTCAAAGAAATAATACTCATCAGTTCATTGGTCCAGAATGAAAGTGAGTCATGACCCAGTAAGTGGATAACCTTGGGAAGTTCACTTTTCCTTCATTTCTGTCTCTGTAAACTAAGGGGATGGAGCTGGATGATCTGAAGCCTCTATGCTCTAATTAAAAAGTAGTTTCTCGATTATTGACCTGGGATGATAATACCCTTCTTATCAAATCTGCAGCAACCTGACTTTACACATAGTTGTAACACAGATATATGGATGCAAGTATGGGATATGTAATATGACCCAGGTAAAGCAGTCAACTGAATCATCAGATTGAAGTGAAACAGATTTTCTAAAATAAATCTGTGGAAGATCTAAAGACATATATGTGTCAGGTGGCAAATAGACAAACATTTGTGAAACACAGGAAGGCAAAAGTTCTGCTTCCTAGGCAGGAAAGCTTTTAGGAGAACGTGATGAAAGACCGGACGGCTGTTTAGCTGAGGCAGTTGTGTGTATGCGATTATTATAAAGGAATATGAACGCTGCATATGGTAGACGGAGGTTTAAGTCACTTGATAAATCCTAAATAGACAGCTTGCTCTATTCTAAAAGCAAACTTAAAAAAAAAAACATTAACAATTATGTAAATACTAAGAGATATTTATCCTCAGTAGTAACCAAAGAAATCAAGAACATGGTATTGTATGATCAAAGTCAAAATGGATAATAGTTAAGATTTGGGAGAGTTTGATCCCAAGGCACTTTTATACATTACTGGTGTTGACAAGTTTTCTTATGGTGTTATTATCTCATTAATGCAAATCTATGGTATTTTCAGTAAAAGCTAAAAGTAAATATTTTAGAATATCAAAAATGCTAATCTCCAAATAATAATAATATTTTAGACTCGTTATTTTCTTCTCTGAACTTTAAATACATTCTGGCAGTTGTGATGCATCATCTATATTACCTCTGTAGGGTGAAAAATATGAAAACAATGTTAAAAGTAGTACTTCAAGACCTTAGCTTACTCATTAATCAGGGGTATTGTGACTTTTGTCTTTTTTTGTGCACACTTCTACATCAACCACTTCTGTATGAAGGGGCCTTTCTCCTCACTTGGCCAAAGATTGAATAACCTTCAGTTTATGGATAAGGAATTCTGTGAGGCAGATGCCACCTGACGAACTGGCATGTTGGCTGGATCCTGGCAGGTGCCGTCATAGCCTCTGCCCAGTACCTGGAGCTTAGCGGGCCCGAATCACCAGTCTCTTCCCTACTTGGCAATTTTTTATATTGATCATTCTCCACCGCCTTTCACTATAAAAATTCTCCTAGCAGATGCAGGTTTATTTATACCACAGGGCTTAGAAACGAGATGAGAAGGCAAAGGTCTATCTGGGTCTCACTTTGAGCCCACTTCTTTTCCTTTGAGACTACATCACTGGGGAAAAAGGAAAGCAGTCTATGGTCTGCGGTATTAAGGGTTTAAGGCTCTGTGCGACTCCGAGTCCATAAGCATCTTTGGCCTGAATCATTCATTCACGTCGCTCTGTCACACGCATATGCACACCTGTAGCGTAGCATCACAGGCTTATAGGGTGACAGGGTCAAAAGAGATATTAGATCCTGTCATCCAGCAATTTTAAAACCATGATCCTTGGAGCCTTTGGGTTCCGTGTAGCTTCTCAGGGAAATCCAGGAAGGCGGGAGGATGTTCAGAGAGTAGACAACTGAGCCACTGTAGCTCTGGTTTAAATAAGAATTTTGCTTTCAATTCTCATACGGCCTTGGTGTAGCCACTTTAAAAATATTTCAACCACTGGTCAAGTCCATTTTATTCATTTAATGGGTTAGGAAACAAGTATCCCAGAAAGTTCAGTTACTTAAGCAAGGTTATAAGGCTATGGCAGAGATAGGACAAGATATCTAGATTTTCTATTCCAGTTGGAAAGCTAATGACGGTGGTAATCCTCTGTGATTCTGAGTTTTCCATGGAGCTGCTACAGCTTATGAAACTCACATTATGAAGATGCAATTAAGAAAATGGAGAGGTAACCAGGCAACAGTAGTGCCTTTTTTTTTTTTTAAACAGTGTGAGTGATATTATGCAGGCATGGGTTACTTCTGCTTCAGCTAAGCTGGTATATATATGGGAGATACAGGTTGAGCATCTGCTGGAAATTAGCATAGACCTTTTTCTACACACCTGTTCTACAGAAGAATATTTATAATGAAAGCTCCAGCAGCTTGAGCCTATGTGACTGCCAAAAATCTGAACAAGCAATACTCCCTGGCCATATCATAACATAAGGTGGAGTTGGATCTGTGATATGGCTCTAAAAAAAATAA